TGTTTATGCCGTGTTCTGGGTATTTGATTGGGTGGAGAGTGAATTCTCGAGCAATGTGATTGGTCTGGCGTATCCCCAGACGTGTCAAGAACGTGTTCGTGCCGTGAGCTTTTCACAGTCATGCGGAAACTACTCTACTTGCTATAGGCTCACCTGAGGGCCCTGAATTATTCCTTGGTGAAGATAAAGGCTGCGTTGTCGGAGTGGTTGCGTTCGATGGTGCACTAGTTGTTGTACCTGGAAGAACCAAAASTCAGTTATTATATTTTGCATAGAGCTTAGCAGTTCATTTGTTTTTACTGGTTTTTTTCTTGCTTTTTAAAAAATGTTTTTGATTTCTACGCGTTTCTATTTGTTATTTCTGTTCTTTCTGCCATTATTTTCTTTGACGTTAAACCGGTATAGTCCCTTTTACTCGCTAGGCTCACCTGAGGGCCTTGAATTATTCCTTGGTGAAGATGTAGGCTGCCTTGTCGGAGTGGTTGCGTTCGATGGTGCTCTATTTGTTGTACCTAAAAGAACCAAAAGTAGTTATTTTGCATAGAGCTTTACAGTTCATTTGTTCAATTTTACTGGTTTTTTCTTACTTTCTTAAAATCTTTTTCATTTCTACACGTTTCTATTTGTTATTCCTGGTCTTTCTGCCATTTTTTTGTTTGACGTTAAACCGGTATAGTCCCTTTTACTCGCTAGGCTCACCTGAGGGCCTTGAGTTATTCCTTGGTGTAGATGTAGGCCGCTTTGTCGGTCTGGTTGTGTTCGATGGTGCACTAGTTGTTGTACCTAAAAGAACCAAAAGTCAGTTATTAGTTTTCATAGAGCTTTGCAGTTCATTTGTTTTTACTGGTTTTTTTCTTGCTCGTTTTAAATCTTTTTCATTTCTACACGTTTCCATTTGTTATTTCTGGTCTTTCTGCCTTTATTTTCTTTGACGTTAAAACTAGAAGAAAGTATAGTCCCTTTTACTCGCTATAGGCTCACCTGAGGGCCCTGAATTATTCCTTGGTGAAGATGTAGGCTGCCTTGTCGGAATGGTTGCGTTCGATGGTGTCCTAGTTGTTGTACCTAAAAGAACCAAAAGTCATTTATTAGTTTGCATAGAGCTTTGCAGTTTTTTTGTTTTTTTTTTTTTGCTTTTTTAAAAATCTATTTGATTTCTACACGTTTCCATGTTTCCATTTGTTATTCCTGGTCTTTCTGCCTTTATTTTCTTTGACGCGGTTAAACCAAAAAAATCATTGATACATAACAAGTATCGAAATCAGAAAAATCGCTGGAAATAACATCCGGGTGTCTTTGTCAGCTCTGACGGACACTTCAGAGCCATCACACCTAGCCTGGCAAAACACTCGGAGTTATCTCCGAAAACAGACGAGTTTTTTCTTTAAAAAACTGTTTTTTAGTCGTCTTCATTGGTTTTGGTTGTGAAAAATCAGCCTTTACAGTAAATCGTGTACTTATTGACCATAGACTGCTCGAGTTAGTACTCTTATAGAACTCTCGATCGAGTATTTGGCCAGGCCACTCGTCTGAGGAACATACGTCTGAGGCACATGCGTGACGTCATGCCGAACAGCAAAGAGAGTAGCCTGGGAACGAGGGCAGAGACATCTACTTTCAGAGATACTTGAAAATTTTGCAGTCAGAATCGAATGTCGTATAAATGTCGTATTGTTATAACAATAATAATCACCATCATCATTATAATCATCATCATCATCACCATCATCACCAGTATCATCATCAATAACCACCATCATCACCATCCGTATCACCATCATTATCACCATCATCATCATCACCATCATCACCATTATAATCATTATCACTATCAACATCATCACCATCATCACCATTATAATCATTATCACCATCAACATCATCATCATCATCATTATGATCGTCATCATCATCATCATCATCATCGTGGTTAACATCACCTGTCTTGATCATTGACATTTCACATCATCATCATCATCACTGTACCTGGAGTGGTCCAGGAATAGGAACGACTCTGACAAATAAACCTTCTTTCTTTCCCACAAGTCTTCAGCAACCACTTAAAATCAGCTTCATAGAACCCGCACAAAACGCTCTCATTCGATGGAAAAGTCACGTTGGTTACATTAGGATGTCGCCAGTTTGAATAATTATAAGCTGTTTCATCTTCCCACTTAAATTGCCCATTCGACTCTTTTATAGACAGCCCAATATAGAACTGGAAAATTAAAAAAAAGGAAGAAGGTGATAAACGAAAAATAGGATAACAAACATTGTAATTTCTAAATTTTATTTATCAGCTTTACCACTTGTTATGGGTGCATACCAAAAACAAACGCAAAAAACCCGATAAATTTCCACCAAAATAAACGATTTACAAATACTAAATACTAATAAAAAAAGTGGTCTAAACTATTAAGTTTTTACTAGTAGGAACTTATGGATAAATTGAATCACCGTGAGAAGCTTTGTTAATATAAACTAACGTTTCGGACGTTAGTCCTTCGTCGGAGTAAGAGTCCCTCTTTTTATCCATAGGTTCCTACTGTTTTCTTCAGAAATACCGATGCAGTCTACACTAGTTCTCTATTAGTTATCATCCATAAGTTTTTACTACCCTATTCTGAGTCCGAGTTTTCAAGTAAACGTTTTTTTATTTGTAAATAAAGGAATAATACTCAAGAAAATGCACGAGGTTGCTCTGAAAATGTAATATCCGAAATATATCTATTGATATTTTGTCGCAAAGCAGTTTACAAATAATAGTCAAGAGAGATTCTTGTAAATATTGTCAGTTTATGTTTTAGATGTTTGTGAATAAGATCAACTGCGACAAATTCTGCAACTTGTCTGAGTGGGAATTATTGCTTTTYCCATCGTGATTTTTTTCTTGTTCAGTCAAGAGAGATTCTTGTAAATACTGTTAGTTTAATTCAAGCAAATCCTTTTAGTATTAAACTAAGACTTACCTCTGCATTTGAACCATTAGTGATATTTTTAAGAATGTCCACAATCTGGCTATTCATGTCTTGGTTGTTGACGCTGACGAGTGTACTATTTCCCATGCTGTTGCATTTATTCCTTGCGTCTTTCCAACTCACGGTTATATTCGAGACGTGAATACAGGACGAATTATTTACAGCTTTCCATTCTTTCGGGCAGATTGGTTTTGATTCTAAAGAACAGATCAATTGATGTTTGTTTCTTTCTATTTAATGAATTCTTGTAACTATCGATCATTTCTGGTTGACATTTATAAGAACAAGTTCAAATAATAAGAGTTTCGTACAAATCAAAAACATAAACTTAACGATTCATAAAACAGGAAATTACAAAATAAAAACGTCCAATTATATTTCAAGGAGTTCTAGATATTTTTTTAGCTATTTTTAAGATTTCAAAATATGACTATATTTGCATATGAAAGAGAGAAAAATCATGACTAAAAAAAATTGAAACAAAATTTGGATAAGACTTTTAAAACGATAACTTACTCACGACGATTTTGTTAAAAAGAGCAGAATTCTAAAATTAAGTGTTTGTCGTGAGTGTCGAATATTAGAATGTGTGAAAATACATATACGTCGAAGTCACAACATTCATTAAAAAGATCTTCATCAAGCGCGGAAACTTGACAAAAACGAAAACAATCTTTGTTTTGATGTTACTTCATTAGGAGATCCAATGGAACATTTATAACTTTTTTAACTCTTAAAACTCACTTGAAATAATCAAAAAAATAAAAACATTTTCACATTTACATCCCTCTGGACGGTTTCTTCAGCGACAGAGAGAGTTTTCAAGAGAGTTTTTTGTTTTATCTCATTTAAATGGTAGAATTTCATTGGTAAGTATGATGACACTAAACTCTCTGGGAGTCGATCCATGGTGTTACAAAGTAAGGCCGATAAGAAACCAAGGGAAACGCACAAGGGAGGCTAGATTTTAATCTTATATATTATTGGCGATTCGTTTTTGATATCATAGTGGTATGGTGTTTAGTTTCTTGACTATTCTACCCTCTATAGCATCACCAAGTTTGTTTTTGATACCACGCATGCGCAGTGTTTACATACAAGGACAAGCCAATGGGTTTCATTTCTAGATGACTGGAAGGCATATTGAATTCACAGCTTGATGGTCAAGCTTGACTGGAATTCGGTGCCGTTAAGCAGCTGGAACGAAAGCAATGGAAACCCCTCCGCGACACTAACAATTGAAACTTTGAACTTGTTTGTCGCTTCCGAAATTATCATTCCTTAAGCCTTTGCGAAAAGGCATGTCGTTAGAAAGTTCGTTCACAAAATCCAAAATTGCTCAGTCGTTTATAACTTCATCTGCACCACGGTACGCTTGTGTCTAGTTATTTGCTAGATTTCGAGGTCTATTTTTTCAAATTCCTATGATTATACCGAGTTCAGTGTCAATAAAAAGTAAAAATTCCGACAATCAAATTATGTTATGAAAATATCATACTCCCTACATAGCAAACTTAAAATCTATAAAACTGGAAAAAAAATCTATATTCTAAAATTATATAATGTCAGAAAACAATTCTTAAATAAAAGTAGTTATAAAAATAGCTTTGACGAAGAAGTATTCGCGTCTAGGAAGGAATGACCGATACGAATGAATGTCTTTAATAATTGAAGAACTCACCAGAACAAGAGAGAAGAAACGAAAGAAGAAAGTGAAACAAACTACTTAACACATCGAAAAAAATTCCTTCCAAAGGTTTTCTTCAAACTAGAGTCGTTTGAAAAGCATTTCAAAGAGCTGATATAGTTTTTTGAGCGCTTAATGGTCAGTAAAGTGAATAAATAGCTTGTTGTGTTTGGATCGGAACAAATTTGTTCCCCTTGACTTACCTGAGATTGGTAAACTTGAAAGAAACTGGAATAAGACTGCGAAAATAACGCTCACAATCTCCATTGCTTATTTTAGCTGTTTCGAATGACTTCAGATTCCTACGCTTTCGTACTTTCCGCTGTAAATTCAAGATTGCTTCTCAAGATCTCCTTGCCTGTAGATTTTTATTTCTTCTTCGTTTACTCGAGAAACAATGCGATTATTCAACTTTGACGATATGCACTCCAACCCAATATTCACGGTGTGCTTCAGCTGTCAGCCGTTGCTAGGTGACGAGGGTTACTTTTGATCTTATTCATTTACGATGTCTTCATCTTCTAGAAATTTCAAAACAATTTGCGTCATTTCAGTCATGACACAAGAATTTAATTCATTTTCGAGGGGAAAAAGTTGTTTTGTAATAAGTCAGGTCAATCTTTAGCATTGGATCAGTCGGATTCTAGTATTGTAGCACAGTATGTGGAGATGGGAGAGTGATAAAGATATGGTCTGTGACATGTTCCAATATAATACACTGTCTGTCGATTACATTCTATTTCACACGATTACGCAATACCGATATGCAAACCCTGCTCCCTAGCTCCCCCAACCGGCTCCTTTGGGCCGGCATCTCCCCACGGTGCTTGAAATTTTACCAGTTACTTCCTTTGGCCGATGCCCCATGCATTGACTTAGATCAGCCCAGAGGTTGTTTCAGGGTTCAATCTGTGAGTTAGCCATGCCTTGACTTAGATCAACCCAGAGGTTGTTTCAGGGTTCTATCTGTAAGTTAGCCATGCCCTGACTTAGATCAGCCCAGAGGTTGTTTCAGGGTTCTATCTGTGAGTTAGCCATGCCCTGACTTAGATCAGCCCAGAGGTCAAGTTTCAGTGTTTGATCTGTGAGTTAGCCATGCCCTGACTTAGATCAGCCCAGAGGTCAAGTTTCAGTGTTTGATCTGTGAGTTAGCCATGCCCTGACTTATATCAGCTCAGAGGTTGTTTCAGGGTTCATTCTGTGAGTTAGCCATGCCCTGACTTATATCAGCCCAGAGGTTGTTTCAGGGTTCATTCTGTGAGTTAGCCATGCCCTGACTTATATCAGCCCAGAGGTTGTTTCAGGGTTCTATCTGTGAGTTAACCATACCCTGACTTAGATCAGCCCAGAGGTTGTTTCAGGGTTCTATCTGTGAGTTAGCCATGCCCTGACTTAGATCAGCCCAGAGGTTGTTTAAAAGTTTTAACTAGCGTTTAAGGGTTCAGTGTGAGAGACAAAGAAAGAAAAAAAGACCAAAAATAGGATGAGATAAATAGATTTCTTCTGCCAATGAAATGCGCCATAAGTGAGCAAAAATTGTGTTGGCTTACGGCATTTTGAAAACTGATGTCTTAACGAAGCTTATATTAGTGGTTTTTAAATGTAGATTGACAATGGCTCCATCCCCAAAACGCCAGAAAAAAGTGCCGTCATCTACGCTTGCGAGTTAGTTATGCCCTGACTTAGATCAGCCCAGAGGTCGTTTAAAAGTTTTAACAAAGTAGTACAATAACTTCAAATTCAAAACAAAAAACAAAAAAACTTCAAATTCGCATCAGATTTTATAGTGTCTTACCTTTGTCGTCTAGCTCCTTGGAATGGAGATGAGTAAAACGGATCTAAGATTTGAATCTTTGAGGTGCGTAATCTAGCTACGTAATCTATACTTTGGCCAAATATCTCTCAATTAATGGCTTCCTACATCGTCTTAAATGCTCACACTTCTAAGTGGAAAACTCTTACTTTCTTATCATCTAAATAAGCGAATGACAGTTTAGGGCGAACAAAACGACGTATATTATTCATTCTTCGTGTTTTTTTCACCGGAATTGAAGCTTTAAGTTAATTGACTGTAGTCGAAGTAATATTAGCTTTCTTTTGCTGGCTATCTAATGGAATAAAAGTTGTCCAATTCAGTAAACGCTATTCATTCTTAGTTCTAGATAGAATAAGCTGGGAATAAGCTATAACTCTGGCCGCAATCAGTTACTGCCATCCAAAAAAAAGCCATCCAAATTCGTTAGACAGGAGATGATTACAGGTAATCAAACACTGCGGGGGCGGGGCAAGCAGGCCAAGTTTATGAATGGTAAGCTTGTTTTTTTTTTTGACGACTCATTGGTCGTTAGTTATTAGGAAATTAAAGTGTTCTGTTGACTTAAGTGGGTGAGTGTTTGATGTTTAGGATAATTTAAAACAATTCGTGGCGTTTGAGTAGAATTTCTGTTTGTATTGGAGAACGTTGTCATATAAATTTAAAAAATAAAAAAAGGAAATAAATTGGAAAAAAACTCTTATTACGATTCTGGAGCCCCCTAGGTTGATGAGAATAACTGCTTTAGCATATACTAACAAGATAATATCAAAAATATCCGTCCTATGCCTTCAAAACAGTTAGAAATTACTCCTGTTTTGCTTAAGAATTGATTAATTCCTCTTTGTTATTATGTTATTTTTATGTTTTTGCAATTAGGTGTATCTATAAATCGAAAAAAGGAAAGGATAGCTATGTAGAAAAGAAAGAATAGATAAGAATGGATAGTGAATAGGTATAAAGAAAGAGAATGGAAGCGAGGAAATAGAAAATGAGAAAATATTAAATGGGAAAGCAAGTTAGACATAAGAGAAAGACTGAGATACAAATTTAATTTGAGATGGAGGAGTAGAAGGAAGTGGGAAAAGAAATAGGAATGAATGGGAAAATCGACAGATATAAGATGGAAGTAAAGAGAGACAGCAGAAAGAGAAAAATGGGAAGACCTTAAAAGGGTGAGAAAACAGAGAAAAGGAAATAAACTTATTCAATGATTTTAAAATGTTTTTATTTAAAAGACTAAAGGACAATGAAAAAGGATAGAAACCCCAATAATTCCGTAAGTTTGGAGAGAAAACAAAAGATTGACATTTCAAACAGAAAGTAGGTTTCAAGAAAAAAAAATTAGAAAGTTAGTCTCACCATTATCATGATTCGCGTTCGTTTCAGCTGTTGTTTCAAGGATACGATTCTTCGCCCATTATTAATAATAGCCAAACTGTTTGGATGCCCTTAACGGGGACATATTTACRTCTTTAAAATGCCGAATGATCAGATCTAAAACAGATAGTGGAAGAGTTATATTAACTACCTCTAAAAGATGCTTCTAGCCGACATTGTGTAGCTATCACAATTCATGATAACTGTTATCATATTATACATAAAAATAAGGTATTAGTTGAAGGAGGTTATGTAATCTCGTTATGATTCTTTTTTCCAAAATAATTGAAAAATAATGCGTGCATTCATATTACATTCAATTGAAAACATCGCTGAAGTTTTGTTTTTTTTCGCGGTCGTCACATGAACCTAATCACTGAGTCAGTACCTTACATATTTTTGACTGGCGGCAGTGAAATAACAAAGTCAACTTACAAATCGGAGACACAGAGTTCGCATGTTTATGAAAATTGTAATAATACCATTTCTGGTAATTTGAAATTACTTAATTTTCTGGTCGAATTAATCGAATTAGATTCATTCAATGAGATTTCCTCGTCTACTCTTTCCTCCACTATTCAGTTCCTTCTCTTCCCTTCTCTTTATATTTTCCTTTCCATTTCCCATTTTCTTCTTATTCCCTTTTATTTTCTATTCTCTTTCCCGCCCTGTCTCTTTCCGTTTTCTCTTCCTTTTTCCCTACCATTCTAATATATTATCATTCCCTCTCCTCCCGTTTCACTTCCCTGCTTTCCTTCTTCGTTTTATTTTTAAAAAACGCTTCTTGGATCCATGAAAACAAAGAGCTTGAGTTCTGCTATTTCAATAGTATTCCTTTAAATTCTACAATATTTCACTTTCTTTTCCTTTGCATTCCCTTTCGTCTCTCATCCTTTTTCCTTTCGTTCCACTCTCCATCCTTCCTTTCTCTCATTTCACGTGAGTAACCAGGTGACTAGGCCGACAGGGATGATAAACAGATATGACAGACATTTTTATCTATTCCCTTCCATTCGTCCTTTTGTCTCTCCAACCCTTGTATTCTTTCCCTTCATTTCACCCTGCCTTCATTTCTCTCACTTCACGGGAAAAGCTGGCTTTAAAAGAGTGATATAACRATGTATCTCAAAACCTGTCTATCTGTCTTGTAAATAAAGAACTGCTGATGGCTGATAACAATGTCCCTCCTAGTAGTTAATCATACGTCGGTCAATAATTCTTTTAAACTGTCTCTATTTTCCCAGCTGTTTAGCATAATTAAGAAAACTAACGCAAATAAAACGTCAATTTAAGGAATAATAACATCTAAAACGTTATTAACATTTAGTAAAGAAAAGAATGATAAAGTTTTATCCATATAGTAGACCTGCAATAGTGCTATCACCCAACATTTATCATTTTGCTTTGGACATTTAATTTGAAAAAATTGAGACCTTGAGAAAATAAAATAGAATAAATGAAAAAGCTATTTTTAAATCCGAGCAATATCGAGCATTCCCCCCCCCCCCCCCCTGAGGAAGATTCTGTTTCTTGTATAAGCCAAACTTTCAAATATTGTTAATGATGCCCTTAAACAACCACCGGGCTGATCAAAGTCACAGGAAAAGGATCGCTGAGATCGAATCGGAATTTAGCTTGTTTTGCAGAGGGAGGAAAACCGGAGAACCAGAAGAACTTTCAAATCAAGGGAGAGAGCTAACAAACTCTACTCACAAGAGATATTGGGTATAATAATTAATCGAACCAGATGTGAGAGGCGAGTATACTACCACTATACCACTCTTGGTTCCCACTGAGCTCTGATGTACGTACGCGAGAGAATGGCTGAACTTAGAAAACCCATTAAGCTCTGTTCTTGACAATTTTTTGTGAGATAAAAAATTACCAGAGAGTCACGACAGACCATAAAGCCGTTATAAATAGCTTCTTGGATGCTATCTAGTCGTTACTATAAGTTACTATAAGCCGTTTTATGTTATAATTAATGTTGAGCAGGCATTTAAGTTCGTAACACTACTGAGTCTAGACTAAGATCTAGATTTGATTTCTAGATTTGACTTTTTTTAAGCACCCTCTTGTAATTTAGAGCCTTCCTGAAAAGGAAAATTGCGCCTGGAGGTCACCAAATTGCGCGCGTTGAGTTCAGGATTAATGTTGTTCATCATGACGTCTGTTGAACAGGCATTTAAGTTCTTAACTAGATTGGACCGTGATTAAAATTTGATTTCTAAGCACTTTGTTTAAGCACCCACTTGTTTAGAGCTTTCCTGAAAAGAAAAAAATTGTATCTGACACCGAATTGCGGCTGTGAAATGTGATCGTTTAGCACGTCTGCAAATAATCCTACGAAACTCAGGTTTATATCAAGCTATTTTGCGCAGAATATTGTTAATCCCAAAGGCAATTAAAATCTTTATCGACGTGGACTGCGCTGATAAAAAGAGAGGAAAAAATATTTTTTTAAAAACATGCGTAATAGGTAAATTACGAGCCTTGTACGAAACGACTGAAGAAGAGGGCCAATGGGCCTTTCACAACTTCAAGTCGCGTAAAAAATGAGCCAGCTCAACTAGAAACCGTGGACCGCTGTTTCGGCCTGTGTTGGGCCTCGTTGGCTTCTAGTTGAGCTTTTACGACACAAATTATTTCCTCATACGAAAACCTTAATCTTCTTTATAGCATTCTTCTCACTCATTATTCCCTCCCTCCCC